CCCCCCCCCACCGCCTGCCACTCCTGGGTGGGCTCCTCTGCTGGGGATCAGGTGTGTGCGTGTATGTGCGCCATTTCTTCCAGCTGGGGGCCCAGAGAGAGAGGAGGGTCTTTCTGCAGGCAGGCAGGGCCTAAGTCGGATCCGGAGGGACTGCCTTGGAGGCTGTGGGGATCGTCGACAACACGTCTCTGGCCCCAAAAGTGGAGGGCCAAGGAACACCCCCCCTCCCCCGTTTGGCACAGGACTGGCTCCCGTCCCTGCAGAAGCCACCTACCGTAAAGTTGAGTGGTGATGACATAGCCGTAGCTACTGTTCTTCTTCCAGGCAAGGAAGGTGTAGTCGTCGTAGTTGGTGCGAGCCACGTAGCCCACAATGTGGGTCTTCCACCCTGGGGGAGGTGGGGGGAGGAAGGCAGAATGATTCTCCCCCCCCTCTAATGCCCCAGAGCCCCCTCTCCCCTCATTTCCTTCCCCTTCCTAGGAGCCCCACTCCTATGAACCTTCCTATGGCCCCAAACGGTGGGCTGCAAATGCTTCCCACTCCCCGGAAGCCCACCGGCTGAGCACCGAAGTCTCCCAACCTACTAGAATTGTAGTACTGGTATTTTCCCGGGATGCTGGTCTTTTGGTAAACTCCGGCCACTTGGCTGCAGATTCCTTGCCTGCAAAGGGGGGTGGAGGATGGGAAGGGTGGCTGAGAACCGACTGGGTGGCCTGAATTGTTAATTCCCGACTGGTCTCGCAGCCACGAGGGCCGAACTTACCGCAGTCTTGTAGAGGTGACTGAGAGCTCCTTGCTGGTGTCTCCCGGAGCCACCATCAGGGTCCCCGAAAGGAAGCGATTCTTATATGTCTTCAACCACTTGCAGGTGGTGCCAAGCGCGATGGCGTACCACTTGCCATAGACCTGGTGAGGACAGCCCAAAAGAGGTCATTTTAAAACCGTGTCCGATGCCCGTCTGGCGACAGACTTGGGCCGAGTTTTCCTCCATTGCTAAAAGGCTGGAGTTTCTGGGACTCTTGGCCACCGTATTTTGGCGCCGGTCCTCCATTGGAGTCAGGGATCCTCGGGACATTTCTAGCTAGAAATTCCAGCTCCGGGTCCGGCAGAAGCGGAGTTGAGCCCGACCCATCAGAAGCGGAGTTGAGCCCGACCCATCAGAATGAAAGGAACGGCGAAAGGGATTGCGGGCTAAGGCCCCCGTTCCTCATTTTATCACGTCAACGCAAGGGAGTCTTACTCTTGCTTCGTCAAAATCCTTCTGGATTTGGATGGGGTCAGCCGGAGCGACTGGATTGCTGCTGGCCGAGAGGAAAACGGCGCTGCAGATGAGAAGAAGGCCCTGCGGTTTCATGGCTGCGACTGCACTTCTGCTCTGCTTCGCTTCTTACGGACGGTTCTGGCCCTGCCGAGGGGCAGCTTTGTTTTTTTAGCGTGGGGAAATTTGAACTTTGGTCTCTGGGCTGCACCAAAGGTGAACGGCCTTACGATGAACGTGGCCACCCGGGAGCCTGAAGATGGGGTCTCCTGCAAGACCCCTCCCAGTTGAGCTGGAGGGGGGGTGGAATGACAGAGAGAGAGATTTGGATAAGGGCATGGGGGCTTCCCTCATCTCAGTCTTCCCAGTCCCTTCAGCTGGGACAAGGGGGTCTCGCCAAGCCCTGGTTTGACTCCAGGGTGGTAGCCTCCTTTTCGGCGGAGGGTCCTGGTGGGCAGATCTGCGTCTTTGTCCTCTGCAGGGAGGCCACTCCTGGGGATCTTTGCTTGGGTCTGGCTCGACCCAAAGGCATCCTGACACCATGGGGTGGGGGGTCTTCCTGTCAGCCTGCAGACCCTCAAGCCCTCCCTTGTTGTCCGGGCTCCTTGCTGTCCCAAGAATAATTAACCAAAGCAAACAGTGGGAGAGAAAACAACTGGCAGCCAAGGTTGTAAACTCCAAGGTTTTTTCGGTTTGGACATTGGATTCTAAACATACAATGTTATCAAAGGCCAGCAGCCAGGATTCATCCGAAGTGCCCAAAATCTGAAGTGTTGGGGGTTTTTTTTTTTTGGACCATTCTCTTTTTGCTGTAAACAGACTTCCTGCATTGCTCCCTGGTGGGCAGCACACAGGAAACGGGCCGATTATCCCAGATGGGATTCAGGCAAAGCCAGGAGGGACTCTTTTTGGGCCTAAGAAGGGCTTTAGCAGCCGTTCAGCTCAGCCTCGGGCCCTCTGGGTGAAGCCGGGGCTGGCAGAGCTCCAGAAGCCTCGGCAAAGCAAAGTCTCATTGGAATGGGGAGCCTTTCCTGGGGACGGGGGGATCGGGTGGTCCCTTCGGTCACATGTTAAACTGGCCATTTTCCACGCGTGCTGGGCAGGACCCGCTCGTGGGGGTGGGGAAGTGTGCAGGACTCCTGGACCGGCTCCTGCAGAAGAATTGGCCAGCTCTTCAAGGCAGGATTCCAGCGGAGACGCCCCGACGGGTTCCAAGGGGGAATCTTCAGATTGTGATGCCTATGTGTGACACATAAAGGCGTCACAATTTCCCTTCAGATGTCACAGAGGCCCAGCAAAGGCTGCACAAATCCAGGCTGGGATAAAGGAAGGGGTGACCTTTGCTGGCACTTGCTGTCCGTCTCTCTCCAGGCGCACCCAGGACGTTTTCTCGGAGCAAAAGGAGGCGAGATCCAAAGGACTCAGGATGAGGTTCAAGAGGAAAAAAGATCTGAAGGAGCAAATCCGTGAACTGCAGGCCATCATTCACATCCAAGGTAGCCCTCCGAGTGCAGCCACTTGGCTGGATCCAGGATGAGGAGCCTCTGTGGCGCAGTGGTTAGATTGCAGTACTGCAGGCTACTTCTGCTGCCTGCCGGCTGCCTGCAATTGGGCAGTTCAAATCCCACCAGGCTGCCTACAATTTGGCAGTTCAAATCCCACCAGGCTCAAGGTTGACTCAGCCTTCCATCCTTCCGAGGTGGGTAAAATGAAGACCCCGATTGTTGGGGGCAAGAGGCTGACTCTGTAAACCGCTTAGAGAGGGCTGTGGAAGCACTATAAAGCGGCATTTAAATCTAAGTGCTATTGCTACCTTCCTGACCAGGGAGAAGGGAAGGAAGTGCTCCCAGCTGGCCTTCTGCAAGGGGATCTTGCTGGGCTGCTGTCTTATGGGAGGACCTGCAAGAAGGGCCTAGTGCAGCCGCCCTCTTCCGTCGGTGGAGAGGGCCCCCTCTGTGAGTCCCCTCCACCCGCGTTTCTTTCCAGAACAAGGGAGGAAGCTCCGCACCCAAGCAAGCGAGGAGGCCGTGCGCAAGAACAGGGACCTGATTGCCTTTCTGCGCACTACGCTGCGGGCCGAGATGCACGAGCTGAATCTCGGGCTGAAGGTGAGCGTTCTGAGTCTTCTCCCTGGCCCAACGGAGGGAAGGAGAGGCAGGTTGGCTGGTGGCTGGTCAATCCTAAACCCTGTCATGCCCCTGTTGGAATCTGATTTCGAGGGGGAGGTTGAGCAGCTGACAGGGAGTGGGAGTGTGGCTCCGGTGGCTGTGGAAGAAACAGGGGAAGGACACAGTCCAGCTGGACATTCAGAGGAAGACCCAGGGCCACCCCCTCTTCATCCTAGGGCACGCAGGGAGGAACAGAGAAGGGAGCAACATGAGTTATGGGGGAGAAAAGGGCCCTGATTCCCTTCATTAGCTGCAGCTGGAAAACAGGATTTAAAAAGGGTGTTTGTGCACAGCACCTTGCTGGAAGCAAAGTGTGAATTATCTTTGTTTGTCAAGTCCTATCTGGGTTCTGGCGTCCTCCCAACTGTGTGTGTTTCGTTGTCTTTTGAGTTCTGCAATTCCTTATCCTGTCCCGTCTCGTTAATTGCTGCAGCTTGTGGTTTGTGTTGGTTTTTTATTTATAATTTATGTGTACTTTGGGTTCGGATTGAATTTCTTCTCTTTAAAAACTGTTCTTGGGAGAATTTTTTTTCTCCAGCCGATGATAACAGGACACTGGGGACCAAATTGGAGGTATTGAAGGGGCTTTACGTACTTTTGTGCCTTTGTTACTTTTGTGCCACGTCCCTTTGGGTCATCACAAGCCCTCTCCGCCTGTCCCGTCGGGCGGTAGTCTGCAGCTCTCACCTCTCTTTCTCTGCTCCTTGCAGCATGACCACGTCACGATCAGCAGGGCCTGCCTAGACAGGAAGCGGGTGAAAATCGCTATGGCAGATTATACCATGGAGGTAAGTGGCAGGCAGGTCTTTCCCCCAGCACCTTTCCCCCAGGTCTCCTCAACGGGCCCTTCCACTCCTTCCTAGCAAGCTCGGGAATCCCTGAGCCAGCACGTCTTCGACCGGATGAACGCCCACAACATCCTCCTATATGAAGTCAAGCGCCGGGGCAACCGCCTGGAGGAGCTCCAGAGGATTCTGCAGGGCCTCATCGACCTGGAAATGGCCAGCCCTGAGCTCCAGCTGCAGCTCCAGGTGAGATCCGCGTGGCTGCCCTGCCCTGCCACAGGACAGAGGGCCTCTAGGATGCCCCGGGGGAGGGCAGGGCATGTTTCCCTCTGCCTTCTTTGTGCACACAGACCATCCGTCAGCTGGAGAACAATATCGAGAAGATGCAGGTGAACATCATGACTGCAGAAAAGGTCCACATCCTGTATGTGAAGATGGTGGGCGTGCTGAGAGGCGTGAGTCCAGTGCGGTGCTTTGGCCATGCTTTGCAGGGAATCTTCTTGCTCACAGAACCGGCTGTTAACATTCTAAGCAGTTCGGAGAACCTGTTGTTAGAAGAAATTACTGGTCTAATCCTGTAAGGAAGGCAGGAAGGAAACATTCTGGGGTCGCTTACAGAAACTGCCTCTCCGTTAACCCTTATTACATTCTTGGCAGGAGTAGACTTCCTGTCTCAGGAACTTCTCTGGAGTTTTTTTCCCCCTCCTTTGCTGGTACTTTGCTAGTGTGGCGTGACCATTCAAAGTTACAAAGGCACGGAAAAAAGTGACTTATGACCCCTTTTCACACTTACGACCGTTGCAGCATTCCCCACAGTCACGAGAGGCCAGGCGAGGAGATGCGTGCCTCGATGTGAGTGATGTTGAGTTGGCCACGCCCAGCCCATAACATGACCACCAAGCCACGCCCACCCAGTCACATGGCCGCCAAGCCACTTAAGCCACACCCACAGAACCGGTTGTTAAAAAATTTGAATCCCACCCCTGGCTTTGATCCAAACTGGGGCTGTCCCTCTCTGCTCGAGCCTTGGGGGGAAATCCATCCTGGGCGCTGATCTCGTTGCCAGAAGTGTCCCTTTTGTGGGTGCTAGAAAGTTGCAACCCGTTCACTCTGCAGGCTCTCCAAAGAGAAAGAGATGAAGGACCGAGAACGCAGGGAGGGAGGGAGGGCCAGGCCCTCTTTCCTCCTGCTTCAGCGGCAGTCCTGATGGCTGTGCTGGGGACAAGGGTGCCTGCCCTCTTTCTCCCACCCCCCTACAGGAGCTTTCTCAGCTTCCTTTTGTCCTGGAGGACTTGGAGCACCGAGTGGCCACCTACCAGACAGAGCTGCAGGGGGTGGACCTGATGGCCAAGGATATGCAGGAAGCCATGGAGGCTGCCAAGGTGAGAAGGGGCAGCTGTGGGCCCGCTCAGCCTCTGCCCGGCACTCCCGTTCACCCTTCCTTTCCCCTGGGGCTGCAGGAGGACATGGCCAACGCAGAAAGCGAGCTGATCGCGGAGAAGAAATTCAGGGAGAACTCGCTCAGCATCCAGAAGAAGCAGATCGAGCGCATCCGTGCGAAGGACCCCATCGAGAGGCACCGGCGGATGGTGAGTCCTTCTTGAGGCACCTGGAGCCCTGCTGGCCGCCTTGAGCAAGCCGCCGTGGGGGTCTGGCTCCAAGTGGGCCCTCCGCATCTAGAGGGCCCCTGAGGGGGACACAGTCCAGGGCTGAGGGCTGCGGCTTCTGGGGCTCCTCTGCCTTTTGCGAGAGCCGCTTCCCCTAATTGGTTTGGTTGGCTTTTATTACCAGCAAATCCAGAGAGACATGGACTTCCCTGTCCTGATGATGCGCGAAGGAACAAGAGGCAAGTATGCTGATGTGCCCCCCGCCACGGCCCTCCTCGCCAGGCACGGAAGGCACAGCTGGACAGGCCTTCTGTTCTGTTCTTCCAGGGGCGAAGCTGGAGGCTTCCAAGGCCCAGATCGAGTACCAGGGTCTGGTGACCAGCGAGGTGGAGAAAGTCAAAAGTGCCGTGCAGTGCTCCCATCTCTGGGTACGTCCCGCAGCCCATCCCGGTCTTTCCTTGGCTCTGAGGCGATTCCTCCAAAGCTTCGCCGTGAGCCTCGCAAGGAGAGCTTTCATCAGCTCCGTATCCTCGTTGCCTCTTTTCTTCTCCAAGGATCCCATCAGGAGCTGGCGTGACGCAAAAATAACAAAAGCCACAAAAGTAGAATAAATTCCTCTCCCACCTTTCCTGCCAGGATATCGCTGGGCGCTTCATGGCCCAGAAGAAATCTGAGGAGAACCTTCAGCATCAGATCACCAAATCGGAGAAGAAGCGGCGAGGCCTCAAGTCCCAGCTGAAGGCGCTGGAGCTGCAGCGAGCCGAGCTGAAATTCCACCAGTCCCCGGGCTTCCTTAGGTACCTGCTGTTTCTTGTGTCGGCAGAACCGGAGGCTCCAGGGTTAAAAATGCCCCCCACCCTCACCCCCAGGACCATCTCTGGCTGCCTCGATGCAACAGACCCAAAGTAAAGCGGCTTCTCCTCCCAGCTCAAAGACACTAGAAGAGAATCTGTGGAAGAACCTGGAGGAGGAGGAGGAACGGCTGTCGCGGGTCCGTGGCCAGGCCTTCAAAAACCAGGAGCTTCTCCTCCACTTTGAGAACGGGGTCGACAACCTGATTCTGAGGCTGTGGGACATCAGGGTGCCTGGCCAGGTCTGTCCCTCTCTCGGAACAGTTGCCCCAGAGCAGATCGCCGAGAAGCCCCCTGTCCGTTAGGCAACAGGAGAGCCAACAGGGAAGCCCCCCCTCCCTTCAAGGGAAATGGGGTGGTGGGAGGGGGAAGCTGGAGGGTCTGCCCCGGACCTTTACCTCCCCCTGCTTTACAGGAGGGCATCCCCAAGATGGAGGATGTCTTTGAGAAGCTGCAGTTTTGTGAAACGAAACTTCTGCATTTGAACCGAAAGATGCTCGATTTGCCCTCTGACATACTCAGGCCAGACGAGAGCGACGAGGTGAGCCTTCTCCCAAGGCTGTGACGCAGCCGCCTTCCCTTATTGCTGGTCCAGGAGCCAGAGGGGGAGAGGGGTTGTGCCCCAGGGACGGACAGGATCCTGATTTCGCCTCCTGTGATATTCCCAAGCGGGCTCTGGGCCCCTTCCTTGACTCAGGCCAGCCCTGTTTGCAGTACCAGGCAGTTGCAGGGTAGAAAGCCTGAAGAGGGAGGTTCTGGGCTGGGCCTCTTGGTGGGCATCACGCCCTCTCCGCCCCTCCCCTTCAATCTCTTGGACTACCACTTTCTAATTCCAATACGTAACTTGGGCAGTCGTTCGTCCACCTCCGGAATTTCCTCGAGGAGAGCGCCAGGGATGAGCCGCAGAACCTGAGAATCGCTTTCGATGAGGACGAGGAGGATGTCCGAGGTCTGTCCCCTGCCTTGAGGGGGGTCAGCAAGGCCGGTGACCCCCCAGCAGCTCCCGGCAGTTGGCATCCATGCAGCTCTGGGCTGAGCTTCACGGAAGGGGGAGAGGCTGTGACTGTCAGAGTTAAGCCTTGTTGGTGTTTCCTCCCACCCAGAGGGAGAATTCCCACCCATTGCCTCTGTCTTGGCTTTACGGTGAAATCTTCTTCCAGTGTTTCCCCAGGGAGGGTCGGCTGCGCTAGGTCCACTATGGAGCAGCAGGGAAGGGGCTGCCCTGGCCCCAGCCTAACAGATAATCAGAGTTGGAAGGGATCTTGTGGGTCATCCAGTCCAACCCCCCCGCCCAAGCGGGAAACCCTACACCCGTGATGTTGAACCTATGGCATGCGTGCCACAGGTAGCACGCAGAGCCATTTATGCCGGCATGCGAGCTGTTGGCAAACTTGCCTCACTGCGCATGTCTCCCAGTTGATTTTTGCCCTGTTTGAGGTCTTTTTGAGCCTCCCAGAAGCTTGAGGACAGCTTCTGCAGCCTTTGCAGGCCAAAAAATAGGCCCATTTTGTTACTGCCTGTATTTCCGGAAACACCGGAAGTGATGAAAGGGGCCTATTTTTCGGCCTGCAAAGGCTTCAGAAGCTGTGGGGCAGGGAGAAACGGAGGCACTTCCTTTGCCTGACCCACTGCCACAATTTCAGACCGTGGGTCCCTCCTCCCCGTCTCTCTCTCTCTCTCTCTCTCTCTCTCTCTCTCTCTCTCTCTCTCTCTCTCTCGTCTCCACGCAGAAGCCTTTCACTTTGTGGACATCGACCACAGCTACGTGCCCACTCGGGAGGAGATCAAGAAGGAGGCCTTGAAGCTCATCGAGGAGAAGACCAAGGTGATTAAGAAAAAGCAAAGAGGAGCCAAAAAATGAACCTTCCACAAATTTGGCTACTATCCGGATTTCTCAGATGGGGAGATTTGACTCTTATCCTGTTTTTCTTTTAATTTGTATTTGTTTAAAATGATATTGAACTTGCTTTAAAGCGCGCGCGCACGCACACACACCCTCCCCATGGAATGTGCAAAAGGAAGTCTTCCCATATTTTGCAAATGGGAGGATAATAAAGGCGTTGACTTGCTCTGGATCGGATCTTGCAGAATCTTATTCTAGGCGGCAGGTGGGAAAGGAAGAAGAGCGACTTTGGGCACAAAGCTTTTGCAAAAAATTCTTTTTATTCCTCCAGCCGCACACACAGCAGAGATTAGGCGGCAGGCACATTATACATTATTCCGAGGCTTCCCTTTCCTCGGCCTCTCGGAGGCGGATCCGTTGAAGTGCCTGCAAGGACCCAGGTGGCCGATTGGGGGCGCCACAGGCCTCCCGTTCCAGTGATTATAGCATTTAAGCGAAGGTCGACCCGGCTCAACAGAGACCGAGACCGCCATTTCGGCCCAAAGGCGGAAACGGCGAGCGGAGTCCGCCTTTCGAGGACCCGTAGTTGTCCCTCACGGGCCACCGTCCTAAGACTTCGCGGTTTGCCTGGTTGCTAAGATACACGGCAGGTGGCAGCGCGCACCGCCCCCCGTTTCCGGCCCTTTCTGACCCAACCAGGTTGCCCTAATCCGCTCCCCCCCGCCAGGTTCTAAAAGTACTCCCGACCCGCCTCCACCCCCATATCCGGAGCTGTGCAGTGCAAATCGGGGGAGCGACGGGCTTTAAAAACGGTGGCATCATAGGACCAAGTGTCCCTTTCTGTCTTGGGGGGGTGGGGGTGTCCTGTAGTTCCGGGACACATCCGCTTCCGCCCCTGCTTTGTCCCTCTCGCAAGGTCCCTCGCGGGCTGCCGTAGCCCGGCCCCGCGCGCGTGCGCCTTGTGTCAGCGCCGCCTTCCTGGCTGCTCGGTGAGGGAAAGGAAAGATGGCGGCGGCAGCGTTGGAGGCGGCCGCCCCGCAAGCGACTCCGGCCGCCCCGGCGGGGACGGCGGCTCCGGGGACCGCGCGGAGGCCGGCGGCCCAGCGGCCGCGGGCGAAGTAGGGAGGCGGCCTCGCCGTCCCCGGGCGCAGCGACCGCGGAGCGCCGTCCCGCGCCTCACGATGCTGTCGGCCTTGAAGAAGCTGGTGGGCTCCGAGCAGGCCCCGGGGCGGGACAAGCCCATCCCGGCGGGGCTCCAGTCCATGAACCAGGCGCTGCAGCGGCGTTTCGCGAAGGGCGTCCAGTATAACAGTGAGCGGCGACCGGCTGGGAAGGGTTGGGGGGGGGCTGTTGCTGGCCGGGAGCCCCGCGGTGGCCGGGAGGGGAGGCTTCCGCGCTGAAGGCGGCCCGGGCGAGGCAACTGACCCCGGCTCTTTCCAGGGGAAGCGGCGAGAGGTTTGGGGTCGGCCCCTAGCAGCTGAGCGGGGGCGGGAGGCAGGTCGGGGCCGCCAGCCGTGACCTCGGAGAGAGGCCGGTGACCGCTTTGCTCCCTCCCGGACAGGAGGAGGAATGAAGGGCTTGCTTGCTCGGGTGGGTGGCTGACTGGTTCTCGAGGCTGTCCGGGCCTCATCAGGAAAGCAGAGTCGGCTGTTCCCTCCTGGGGGCACAAGACGCCCATCTCCTCCTCCTCGTCAAACTGCATTGTGTGTGCCTTGTTTTGTCTTGTTCTGAAGGTCGTTGTTGAAGCCAAAGTTTTCTTTTTAGGCTTTGTTTAGTTGCTCTGCCAGCTGATCCTTGGAAGAGGAGCATTTGCATTATCGGGCTTAGCTGCAGATTTGCTTTCTTTGCAGTCCTTCAAAGGGGGTCCTGCTCTTGGAATGGTTTTTTTGAGCCTCTCTGACTTCTTTGATCAAAGGGAGATTTAACTTGGAAATAAGGAGAAACTTTCTGACAGTGAGAACAATCAACCAGTGGGGCAGCTTTGCCCTCTGGAGTTGTGGGAGCTTCATCACTTGAGACCTTCAAGGAGAGACTGGACTGCCGTTGGTCAGAAATGGTGTAGGGTCTCCCGCTTGGGCAGCGGGTTGGGCTAGATGACCTACAAGGTCCCTTCCAACTCTGATTATTTGTTATCTATTAAGACAGCTCCCAGATCATGTGATCCTCAAGTACTGCTTTGTCTGCACAACCACCGTCCTCCTCAATTACTTTAGAAGCTGGTCCCGTTCACTGCAGTGACATTGATGTCTGTGTTGAGATGGGCTGGATTTAGTTCCCCTGCTCAAGTAGGACGGTGTTGGGGGCATTGGCCGTTCCCCTAATGTTTCCTTGGCACAAATGCCGGCAATAATGCATTAATTTTCTTAACTGTCCCAGAGCAACCAAGGAGCCTGCAATTTTCTCAGCAGCCTGCTTTTCCACAGTCGCTCTCTCTTGATGTCAATTTTACTTTTAAAAAGTAGATTTTTTTTTTCAAATTGCTTTCTAAATTGTGCCTCTGAAAAGGCTGGCGACTATTGGCATGCGCTGCTTTGGCTGCCAATAGCTGTTCTTGCCTCCACCGTTTGCTTTATCTTAGGCACTTAGCGTCTTTAGGCACAGCCAGTAGTCTTATGCCTCTGCGGTGCTCTTGACTCCCTTTATTCCTTAATTTTTCTTTCTCTAGTGAAAATTGTCATCCGAGGTGACAGAAACACGGGAAAGACCACTTTGTGGCATCGGCTGCAGGGAAAGAAATTTGTTGAGGAATATATCCCAACCCAGGAGATCCAAGTCACCAGCATCCATTGGAATTATAAAAGTGAGTTTTGCCAGCCGTTGGGAATGGAGAAACCCTTTTCTCTTTGCTGTCTGATGTATAACTCAACACTGCAGCCACCTGTGTCTGTGGTCCCCTCGTTGGTAAAGGTGTGCTGCCGGTATAGGCTTGTCCTCCTTTTTTTAAACTCAGCCAGCCATCTGCTCATTGCCACGTGGGTCAGGGGTAGCTCTCACCGTGTTTGAGTTAACTGCATTTGAACAACCTTTTCTAATCTATACGCCTGGGTGTCTTTTCCAGCTACGGATGATATTGTGAAGGTTGAAGTCTGGGATGTGGTTGATAAAGGTAAGGTCTCTCCTTTCGTTCTGATGTTACAGTCATTATGTAGTGTTTGGATTAGTCTTATTGGGAAGCAGGCATTTTCTTTGCCCTGTCCCATTGGGTTCCTGGTGGTGAGCATAGCATCTCCTTGCCTGTGGCTTTCTGGTGCTACTCTTGAATGCCCCCACTGGAAATATATGTTGAGCCTAGCCAGTTTCTGTCTCCTCTTTCCGAAAAGAGAGGGGGTGTCACCTTTTGACCTTGCAAAGGCTTCTAAGTTACGCATAGTGGTGGGATGTGGGAAAAGCTACACGTTTGGGACTCTCTTTTCTGCTCCGCTAGGAGACTAACCATTTTCACAACAGTGCTCTTCTCCTTTCAAACACCGCAGGCAAGTCCAAGAAACGGGGAGATGGATTGAAACTGGACAACGATCCTCAAGAGGTGAGGCACGCTCCGGACCTGCTGTCTTGTAAAGCATCAAGTCCTTCCTTTGCACCTGGTGCAGCCTCTTATTTCCTGTAGGCTACGAGCTATCCCGGGAAGCAGCCGGGACTTTTTCGAGATCTTTCTTTTTCCACCCCAGGCAGAATCCGAGATGGCCTTGGACGCGGAATTCCTGGATGTATATAAGAACTGCAATGGTGTCGTGATGATGTTTGATATCACCAAACAGTGGTAGGGACTGTTGCCTCCACCTTTCCCTTCTGTGACTCCGTACAAGAGTCTCTGAGAAATGCAAAAGCCTCTTGTTGTCAGACTTTGCACAAAGCTTGTAGATGATAAATGCCTTTATCTGCTCCTGAAGAGCAGAGCGTGTCGAGTAGAACTGATGAAGTACATGGCTCCGTGGGGGAGGAGGGGTCTCCTTCAGCTGACCTATTAACTCAAGGGGTCTCTAGGCTGTTGTGCCTCCTGTAGGTGCAGCCTCTTTCAGAGCTGTTGTGCTAGAATTTACCTGGACAAGCACCATTCAAGGAGCTCTCCTTTCCACTCCATCCAGGACTTTCAACTACATCCTGAGAGAACTTCCCAAAGTCCCAACCCATGTCCCTGTGTGTGTGCTTGGGAACTACCGGGACATGGGCGAACACCGGGTGATCCTGCCTGACGACGTGCGGGAATTTATTGACAACCTGAACAGGTAAAAACGTCAGCCTTGTTAAGGAGCTTCGGGCTACCTTTCTAGCCCTCCTGGAGCCATCGGCCTCTTGGGCTCTACTTCAGCACTCCACTTAAACCTGCCTTCTGGTGGACTCGCTACACAAAAGTGGCAGCGGTCTGAGTGCACCCACCACATCCTGCTGCACTAGTGAGTGGCTATTGTCTAGCATCTCACCAGCGCCCCCTCAGGGCACATGTGCACCAAATTGCTGCCCAGGCAGTCAGTGAATCCTGCCCAGACCTTTTTCGTCTGTAGCTGGGCAGCATCTGGCTTGGCCACTGTTCATCTGCAGCAACTCAGCGGAGGGTGTGAGTGGGCCAGAAGCGCTGTGTGCTTGTGATAAAATGCCTGCAAACTCGTTGCCTGCCTGCTTTGCGCTGATCGGTTGATTTCCTTCACCCCCCCAGCCTGGAGGCTGATGAAGGTGACATGGGCATAAAAACTGGACATGCCCCACTGATGGACGGATCAACCTATCCCATCAGCTCGTGTGCCTTTTTGGGCAGCTGTTTTCAGTTGAACTGCTGGTGGCCATTGTTACTCTCCTCCCCCCACACCCTGGACCTCCCAAGCTCACAGGTCGCCAGGCTCTTCAGCTGCCTGCCCCTTTCTTCAAAGAAGGCCTGGCATTAACACGGGCCTTGGAAGGGCCGGTGACAGCATCCTAACCCCTCGGCGGAAGAAGACCGTTATAAAATTTGGAATCCGTTTTCTGAACGGTTGCATAGAAGAGTAAAGAATTGAATTATATAAGTATAGTATATAACATTGCTACTGATAAATAGATGAGTTAGATAGAGTAAGAAGATGAAATATATCATTGAAAGTTAAGGACTTAAAAGTTAAGGCTAATAGAATAAGTGACACGCAATATAAAATATTGATAAGAACCGTTATAAATATATACAAGTTAAATACGTATGATATTATTTTGTGCAGGAAGAAATGCGTACTCAACGTACTTTGGAACAGAAAGAAGGTTTTATGTTTGTTTTTGTTGTGATAAAAATAAAAAACTTAATTTTTTTAAAAAATAACCCTTGGCAGGCTGAGTCAGTTGCAGTTGGAGGGTTGGTCTCAAGCGATCGGCCTCTGGCTCACCGTCTATCCTCCCCCCCCCCCCCCATATCTTTTGACATCGAACAGGCCTCCCGGCTCCTCCTACTTTCGTTACGCCGAGTCTTCCATGAAGAACAGCTTTGGCCTCAAATACCTGCACAAATTCTTCAACATCCCCTTCCTGCAGCTGCAGGTAGGAAGGGACCCGGGAGGGGGGGAGGGCTCAGCGTGGCCCCAGCCCAGCCCCGTCTACTGAACGAGGAGAGGCCCATGTGGGCTCCCCGGAAGTAGAAGTGCTTCTGCTGGCGCCCCGGGGCTGGGCGGGGGAGCCCCACGAACCAGGGGAGAATTAGAAGCTGCTTCGCCTGGATTTAGCCCATTGGGTTGGGAGCCTCCCCCACCCCCCCACCCCACCAGTGGCCGTTCAGGTCACGACCGCCCTCTTGGGGCAGAGGAGGGGGGAGGGTAGCAGCCCAGAGGTGGCGCCTGAGCAGCCCCTGGCCTGCTCCACAGCGGCGGATCTCCTGTCTCTTGCAGCGCGAGACTCTGCTCCGGCAGCTGGAGACGAACCAGTTGGACATTGACGCCACCCTGGAGGAGCTGTCTGTGCAGCAGGAGACGGAAGACCAGAACTATGAGCTGTAAGTCGGGTGGGGCCGCTCTCCCCACACCGCCCTCCTTACTTCAGGCTCTCTCTGCGGGCTTTCCTGGGAGCTTCTCGCCTTCCCTCTAAAAGCAAAACCCCGGGAATCGTCATTTAAATCTGGCCTCTGAGTTCGGGGGTGTGTGTGTGTGGGTAGTTCCTGAGGTCACGTTTCCTCTCCCCGACAGGTTCCTCAACATGATGGAAGCTCGCGGCCGGGGACACGCCTCTCCTCTGGCCACCAACGGGCAGAGCCTTTCCTCAGGTTCCCAGTCTCCGGTGGTTCCACCGGGCAGTGCTTCGGGGGGCTCCAGCCCCGGCACCCCACAGCAAAGGTTGGCCGTCCCCGACCTTGCCGTGGAGCCCGGTGCTGAGCCTCCAGCGCCAGGGCTGCAGCCTGAAGCCCCGCCGCCCACAGCCATCCCTGCGCCGGCTGCCCCGCCGAAACGTGGAATCATCGCTCGACTCTTTGGGACGTCCCCGGCTCCCGAGACGGGTGCCACCTCTCCAGGTGAGGCTGCAGTGCTGAAAACACGCAGGGATTTTGGGGTCCTTAAGCGCCCTGGTTTGGTGCGGGCGGGAGGAGGGGTGACGAGAGCAACATAAAGCCAGTTTGGGGAAGGAGAAATTCCGTGCCGTCTCAACCGACCCACCCTCGAACCTCTCTCTCTGCCTGCTGGCAGACTTTGGCAGGGCTTGACCGGCTCCCCTGAGGTCCTTCTCTTGTTTTCCAGATCCTGTTCTTCCTGCCGTTGCTCCCTCAAAAGTCCAGAGCGTGGAAGACTTTGTCCCCGACGAGAGCCTGGACCACAGCTTCCTGGAAGACCCCATCCTCCAGAGAGAGAAGGGGGGGAAGCCGGCAGGAAAGGCTCCTGCCGACAGTGACAGGTGGGAGACCCCGCTGGGTGGAGCCAACACAGCCGCTCTGCTTCGGCAGTGACCACAAGGGCTTTGCTCCCTTCTCCCAATTTTGTTTTCTGGAATTCTTGGTCAGCAGTGCTGGGAAGGGCCCCCGTCAGCCGGAGGAGAGAATTCCAGAGGAAGACCCCCCCGGCCCCTCAAGCAGAATCTTCTGGGATTTGCCCCCTTGCTTTCCCCCCCCACTCCTGCCTGCAGGCTGTGTCATTGCCCTTGGCTTCCTTCTTGCAGTGACCGAGAGGCTCCTGGTGGGAACCCCTTGGTGGCCGGCTTCCAGGATGACCTGGACCTCGACGAGCGTTTGTTCAACAAGCCCCCGTTAGCGGCGGAGCTGGTCCCGAGCAAAAACGTGAACCTGTCGAGCGAGGAAGAAGAACCCTCCTCCAAGCTCTCCGTCGTGGGGGCTGAAGAGGCTGGCTTAGAACAAGGAAAAAAACGGTAAAGGGGGCGCTGGGAGTTGCGGGGTATTGCTGACTACAATTCCCAGTAGCCCTCGCTCATTTGGCCCACAGCAGGATGTGTAGGGAGAGGCAGCTGTGTCCTGCAATGGGCAAAGGACCAGAAGGTCTCCGGTCCAGCTTTAGCAAGTCAACAACCAGTGCAGTTCAGTTTAAAAGTTATGATTTAAACTTTTCACCGAGTCTTAAATGAAACTATAACGTAACGTAACAAAAATACAGCAGCTAGGGAAATTCAGTTCCCACGTGTCTGTGTTGGGCAAAACGTGTGTAAGAAACCCCTTAAAAACTCATTTCTGGACAGGTATCGGAAGGAAGGAAGAGTCAGGGATTGTTAACTTTGCAGTTTCAGGGTTTGTGGGATTTTGCCCTATCTTGTTTTTGGCCTGTCACATGAAATCTTGTAGATTTCAACCCAAAATACTGATGATTCGGCGCCAAGCACAAACGGGTGCTAGGTATTTGCGTGTGATACGGAAGAAGTGGCAGCTCCCTCTTTTCAACGCAAGCATTGTTGGCTGAGCCGCTGAACCAGGCTGTGTTTCTGCAGAGCCGCATCAAGGATAGACGGTGGCTGCTTAATCGCCTTGGGGCCTCCAGGCACTGTCTTCACTTTCCTTTTTATCTCCCCCCAGAGCTTCCAAAAAGCCCTTGAAACTCCCAGAGCCTTTGGCCCTGCCCACGTCCTCCACTGAGCTGAAATCTCCCGCCGGCCAGCCTCTACTCGGGCAAAGCAAGTGTATGATGGCAGCCGGCGGGCCTGAGGCCCGCCCGCCTGCAGCGCCCTCTGCCTCCAAGCAGCAGGAGTCCGGGAGCGACTCGGAGGGGCCCTTCGCCGTGCAGATGCTCTCCTTTGTGATGGACGATCCGGACTTTGAAAGTGAGGAGTCCGAGAGCCAGAGGAAGCGGCCAGTAAGTCCCTGCCCTCCCCGAGCCCTCGGTTTGGTCCATCCCATGTTTTCTGTGGGTCGGACGGTGCTCCGGTTCACCCAAGGGAGCCTGCTCAGAAGCACAGATGGATCCGAAGAGGGGGCTTCCCTGGGGTTTGGGCCAGAAGGGCCGCGCAGCGGGCACTGAGGGGCCTTCTCCCCTTTGCCTCTAGGAGTTTCCGGTGCGAGAGGATCTCTCGGACCTCTCCGAGGAGGATCCCCCTTCCAGACCCACCCAGCTCTCCAAGCCTGCGCCCCGCTCCTTCCGAGTGAAGAACGAGGCCGATCTCTTTGGGTTGGGGCTGGATACAGCGGTGGGCAGAGAGAGCAGCGAGGAAGGTGAGGGGCCTTGGCCGCAATGGCACCCCGAGACCAGGCGTGGCACGGAGCTTTTCCCCCCAGCTGCGCATCACCATCAAGGCGCCTCCTCCCCAGTCTCGTCCGGAGGCTTTTTCCCGCTCCTGCAGGCGGTTCTCTTGTCCCGCTTGGAAGTTTCACCCTCCTTTTTCACGCCCTTCTCCTCACAGCTGCCGATAAGGAGAAGCAGACTTTGAAGGAGAAGAAGAAGAAGAAGAAGAGGGCTAGCAAAGAGGTGGGTGAGCGTGGAGCTGTGTTTGAACGAGGGCAGGAAAGGTCTCCGAGCTAAGGCCCCGAAGGGGGGCCGTGACTGTGGCCAGGGTGGGCTCCATGCTAGCCAAACGGGTCCCCAGGCAGCCCACCCCAAAGAGCCCCCCCCCCTTGGATCCTTCGGCTGCGCTCCTCCGCGGGGGCCTCGCTCCAAGGGGAGGCGGCTTCTCCGCCCGCAAGCTCTGCGGGGCTGGTGGCCTTCGGGCCTCTCCGGGGTGGGAGGGCTGCTTGGGGGAGGCGTGCCCCCGTCCCCCCCTTGCTTCATCCTTCCTCTCCCAACTGCTTCCCCAGGAAGAACCGGAGAAGGTGTCGGGCAGGAAAAAGAACAAGCCGAAAAAGGAGGAGGACGAGAGAGGAGAAAAGAAGAAGAAGGCGTCCAAGCAGCAGCACCCGCCGCGGTGCAAAGCCAAGCCCAACGGGATGAACGAGCTGGAGGCCTTCCTCGGGGGCGGTGCTGGGGCCAGCAAGCAGCCGGGGGGTGGAGACTATGAGGAGCTGTAGCCCCTCCCCAGCCAGGTGCACGGGGCAAGGTGGCCCCAGCCCACCGTCACCGCCCCTCCCTGCCTTTCTCTGCTGCCCGTTGCCAGAGTGGCTGGAGCCCGAGGAGGGGCCTGCAAGCGGCTCAGAAGCCCCCCCAGCCTTCCTGTCCTTTCAGCCGGGGAGCCCTGGGTTTGGGCTCCTGGGGCCCAAAAGAGGGGGGGGCCCTCCCTCCACGGAGGCCGCATTGTGTCCCGCCCAAAGTGGCTGCTGCCTGTCGAACGATGGATCCGCGCTGTTGTTTTACGAGAGAAACGGTTCTGGACCCGTGGCTCCCCTTAGACTTTGGACAGTTGCAGGGTCCCAGCCAGGGGTGTGTGTGTGTCGTGGGGTGGGTGGGGGCAGAGGCCTTCCATGTGGGGAGGGGGAAGTGTTTGAATAACGTGGCTTTATTCTGGGAATTTGCGGGAGAGTCAGACAGACGGCGGTGCCCTCTCCTCCTCCCTGCCCTTTTCCCCAGTTGTCCCAGTTTGAGAACCCCGGAAGCTCGTCTGCAGCCAAGCGTCCGTAGGAAAAAAAAAAAAAGGAGGCTGGCCCCCCCCCCCCGGGCCGGGGGGGGGGGGGGGGGGTGTGCCGCCCACCCCTCTCCTGGCTCCTCCTCGGGTGGGCTTGCCCCCCCTTTCCGGATCCCTGCCTCCCAGTCACCGCTGCATGTGTTTGCCCTGGAACCCAGCCAGCTCTCGGGAGCGGTTGGTCCCACCCCTGCTACTTTTGTGTGTGTGTGTGTGTCATTCCACCCCCCAATGCCACCCCCACCCCCCCCTCACACTCAAGGAAAAGCAGCTACAAATTCCGGACCATTCCGTTGTGTCTCTTAAGTGTGGGTTGAAGTTGGACCGTTCTGACATTCCTCCCCTGTTCTGCGCCTTCCCGCTTTGGGGTAGCCGCCTGCATGGCACAGGTAGTGCTCTCAGGGCCTCTGGCTTGCACTCCCTGGTGGGGGGAGGGGTGCATGACAAACCCACTCTTGACCCCCCCCCCACACACACACCAAAAGCCTCCCAGGCTCCTCCCTCCTTCCCTCCACCCCCCGCAAGGAGCGTAGTCCCTGGAATGCAGCCGGCAACTATGAGCCTTGTTGCTCTTCACCTTCCGTTTTCTTTTGTTCCCTTTTTTCACTTTTGCTTTTTTTGGGGGAAGGCAAAAAAAAAAAAAACTGTCCCAGTGATGCACTCCTCATTCCAGCTGATAAAAGCTCTCGGTTGCACACAACTCGTGTCTGGTTTCCTTTCTTCGGGTGTCCCTCAGCCGGATCCAGGCTGCTTCCGGCTTTAGGTGAGCTAAGAGACCCCCCGTTCCTGGGCTGAGCGGTCCCCACCTAGTTGGGAAAGGCCTAGGCCTGTTCCTCCCGCGCTCTGGGGCAGGAGGAATCCTCGTGTTGGAGAAAATGGGTTTCTTCCCAAGGGTTTATTACAGTTCTTGTCATCACCATTTGTGGGGTTGTTTTTTTTTGGTCTGATTTTAAAAAGCGCCCCTGTTTCTCCCCTCCCCGGCCTTGTCCCCGGCTGTCCAGCAGAGCTAGCCTTTGTATTTTGGGCAGGAAGGGTGAGTGACACGCCGTGTCTTTTTTGCTGTCAGTTCAGTTGATGAGCTCCAAGGCTTCCCTCGCCATCCCCTGCTGCCGCCCACCAGCACTGGCGTTGCTGTGGTAACCTGCCAGGCAAAAGATGGGGCTCTCCTCCCCAGGAGGAAGGGAGGAGAGAGGTGGGTGGGATGCTTCCCAACCTTGTCACCTGCAAAGAAGCGAAGGGAACCATGGAGTGTGTTCTCTTCCTGCAGTGGATCCACCTGACGAGCCTGGGTCCTTCCCACTGAAGACCCTGACCCTGGCAAAGGGCTCCGGTGCTTGGCGGGCACCCGGGCTGCCGCCTCTTGCCGTAAACCCCGTCGGCCTGCCCAGCTCCACCACCTACCGGCCCATTCAGGGGACGCTCCCGAATCCCGTGAGATTCAGCCACCAGCTGGCTTAAGGTGCCGAAATCCCTGGACTTGCCTTACGGTAGCAAGCAGGGAAAGTTGCCCGTGGCCGACCCCGAGGGGCAGCGGTTTCCCAAGAAGGCGGCCTGTGGCTTTCAGCAGATCGAAGCTGGGGGCCCTGGCAGAATCGGGCATGCTCCTTCCAGCTGTGCAGGAAGATGGGGGCGGATTTTATGGCCGCCGCCGCTGCTTCTGGAGGGCCAGGCCTCCCTTTCAGGGCCCGGGTGTGAATCCTGTGGGAAACTGCTTGGCAGGGGGGCTCTATGCCCCCCATCTCGCCGCGTGGGCAGGCAGCTTCCAAAAGGAGCGGCTGCCAGGCCTTTGGTGCTCCTTTGCCTGCCTCTCCGGTGTCGGAAGCGGGTGCTTCTAGGGGGGTTGGCAAGGAAGCGTCCTGGCACGTGCGTCCCCGGGGGTTCCTGCTGTCCACGCCTGCCGCACGGGCAAAGGACAGCCTGCAGGCTCCCAGACCAGACGGGCCTCCAGCTGCCTTGGGAGGAAGTGCCAGAGTTGCATCACCTCCACTCGCCACGCTAAGCTTGCAGCCTCTTCCACAGCCTGCAGCACCGGGGGCTCCTTCCTTGCCGCAGAAGAAGTTATTCCCCTTCTTCCCTAGGGTCGTGGATGATGGGCTTGGTGCTGTGCAGCCCCAGATAAAAGGCCAAGCAACCCCCCCTCGTCTTCTTCCAGGCCTCGCTGCCACCCGTGCCGCCTAATCCCACCCAGGCGAATCCCTCACGTTGAGCCCTCCGCCTCCCTATTTCCACCACCCCCCATTTGATGACAAGCAAAAGGCCACCTGGTGCCCAGAGCTTTCCTCCGCCTCCGGCGCGCCACCCCCCACCCCAAGCCATCCTGATCCAGAGCCTCCAGATTTAAAAGCAGGGAGCCAGATGGCCGGACGGTCTCCTTCTTCGATGCCCGCTTAGGCCAAACAGCAACAAGGCCTGATGGCAGGAGGATCACGTGGCAACCCGGAGCGGAAGTTAAGAAAAACCACCCTGGAATCTAGGCCCCCTTTGTGAGGGTGAAGCGAGACCCAGCCGAGCCTTGTAAGCCTCAGCCCCGAAGTGGGAGCCTTGGGGTGTGTGTGTGTGTGTGTGTGTGTGTGTGAGTGAGTGTGAGTGTGAGTGTGAGTGAGAGAGAGCTGGATGTACCCAGGCAGCCAAATGCCAAAGGTGCAAGTGGAAAGTGGCAACTTTGACGTGAGCTGGCATGGTGGCCCCCGGGGCCATTTTAAAATGCTGGGGGTGAGTTTTTTCCCCCAAGCAGATCCAACAAACCGTTTCCATCCCTTTCTTTGCCGAAGACGGAATAGTTTTCCTCGCGAGCTTCGTGATTCATCCCAAACCGTCTGCTGCAGGCTGGGGAGGTGGAGGATGATTCGGGAGGGCCGTGTTCCCATGTGGGCCGTGGGCGGCAGGTGCTGGCGAGGCTTCCACTGGAGCAGCAGCTCTGCCTGCCCGGATTGGAGAGCCGCTCGGGGACTGACGACGTAATGAAGAAAGAGGGGCGTTTGCGGGGGAATTTGCTTTTTGACAGGTTTTGGGGGGTGCCCGTCGGTCCTCCTGGGGTGCGTTTGGAGGCAGTGGGGGGTGCTACCGTCCCCAGGGGGAGCCCGCAGGAGGGCAGGATGCCCAGGGTTAAGGGGCCTCTGCCGCTCCCTGCGTGACACTTCGGGGGAGCCCCTTCTGTAGGCACGAGAGCCTACAGAGCCTCCACCTTCAGGAGCAGTATAGCCTGAATGCCAGGTGCAACCACTTGGAGCAAATGGGGAAGCCACCCCGTCCGTGGCCCGTTAACGTGGTGACTGCTTAGATGGAGGAGGTTTAACTGTTCGGGAGGAGAAGAGGCAAGGGAGACTTCAGGCTTTCCGGAGCCTTGGCTGGCCGGCCTTTCCTGGCTCCGGAGCTTTGGCCTACCTGGTCGCAGGTGAGACAGGTGCTCCCTGCCCCGCCCTCTGCCAAGATTGGTGAGGAAGAGGAGACTTGACTGGAAGGCCCTTCCTTTCTTTGGGTTCCTCCCCCTCCCAAAGCAAGTCGGTTGGGAGGGGGGACAAGCCCCTTGCCCCACAGGGGTGGGGGAGAGTGTGGGGGGGGTGCTCTGTCCACTCCCCTTCCTCTACTGCCCCTTGCTGGCGGAGGTGCCAACTGCTGGGCCTGGTGAATTCCTGCCTCCTGCTCTGCGGTGGACGCGTCCCCTTTAAGGGCTGCCAGTAGCCACTGGGGGCGCTGTGGAGCCCAGGACGGGGTCTGTGCCGGCCGCCTAGCAGGTGCCGGAGCCAGGGAAGGGGGGGGGCTGCCTCTTCTGCGGGCACCCAGGCGAGGTGAGGAGGCCGGAGCTGGCAGCCAGGGGCGGGCGGGCCGGCAGCAGGGAAGCTGGGCAGGAGATGGTTTTCCTGGTGGGGGGAGGACAAAAGCCCCGCTCCCCGAAAGCCGGGAGTTTGCTGCATCTCTGCCTGCAGCGGGGAGGGGGGCTCCCTTCCCCCCCCCACCTCTCGCCAAGCCAAATAGCAACCGAAGGGGGATGCCCTGCCTCTTTTATCTGGGGGGGGCAGCTTCCTGTCCCCCCCCCCACCGCTGCTGAACCGCTATGCGTCCGCCAGCAATGACGTATTGTGAAGAGGGAGCCCCCAGATCGTGTCTCAAGTGTTGGCACCCCTCTGGGCGCGTAGAGGGGCATCCCTTCCTATGCCAGACGCCCCTCCTCTGTGTCCCTCAGGTGGGTAGGCAATACTGGCCTGGATGGGGAGGGGGGAGAAGGCAGATTTGTTGGGGGGGGAGGGGTTGTGGGCCCTGCATGATGACCTCCAGCCCGGCTGCCTCTCCATCACCCGCAGTGCCATCTCGGTGTGGAGGGCACTCGGTGGAAGGCGTCCGGTGCTCCTAGCCTTAACCCTTTTGCTCCTGGTTGTAATGGGGGCGGTGGAAGTTCAGACATCCCGAGGGGGAACCCCAGGTGTGTGAACTCAACCCCACCTGATCTTCCCAACCCAGCCCTTTGCACATGCTCTGTTTGGTGCAGGGGCACAGGAGGAGGAGGAGGGCGAAGTAAAGAGGCTGGCTGAGTCAGAACGGGCACTGGGGGGTCTGGGCTGAAACGGTCCTCGGCTGGAAGTACCTCCAGGCGAGGGGAAATGGCCGTGGGGCCTTCCTGGCAGGGCTGTGGGGAGAGGGATGGCCTTGGGGGCGGGAAGGATCAGCAGAGGGAGCCCGACCTGCTGGCGGTCTTGGCCTCGTGGCGACTGCGCCAGGGGACAAGCGCCGTGACGCCGGGCAGGGCAGGAAAGGCACCTGGGCCAAGGGCGGAAGGCAAGCAGGGTTGCCTGGCAACCCAGGAACTGGCACTGCCCTGGGGCTGTCAGAATGCCAGATGATGCCAGCATCCGTGTGCCATGGTTTCCGGAGCTCCCAGGGATGTTCTGGCCCGGAGGGGCTTCGGGACGGGGCCCCCCCTCCCCTCCTCGATGGGCGACTGGGGGATCGAGAGCCGAAATATCCTCTTTTATTTTTTTTGCAGCGTTGCAAGATGGGTCTGCGAGGGTTTTTGCAGAAAGTGCAGAAAAGGGAGGGGCCGGTTTGGCAAGGCTTCAGGGGGCGAAAGCCCTAAACTGGGGAGAGGGGGGGGGTCCAGTTGGGGAGGGGGGGGCGTTTCTGAGTCATGGCAGGAATGAAAGAAGATTCCCCCTGCCTCCTCCTCCTTCCCCCACCCCACCCCCATTTCCCTGGGATTCAGGGCTGACGGAGGAACTTCGAGGTCTTTGATGCAGGGACCGTTTCTTTTCACGGCTCAGCGGGGGAATGGGGAAGACCAGGAGGCTTTTGCAGGATGGGGGGTGGGTGGGTGGGGGGCTTAAAATAGACTTTTTCTGCCCTCCCCGCTTGATCCCAGGGATGACAGATCT